TTAATAAGGCAGGACGAAGATGAAGAGGAAAACTTCCATGGGGCTCAGAAACAGGGGTGATGAGGCACAAATAGCTGACATCACAATTCTTTAGAAACAAAAGACAGGAGGAGAAGCCAAGAACATTGCACATGTTCCTCTTGCTTTATTTCAAAGTATGACAGTAAAACACCACCAGAGCGTCCAAGTTTTAGAGGGGCAGGATCTATCTTCTCTGTGCGTGCTCTGCCTTCCTTAGTGACAGACACTGTAAATGCCCAGTGTAGAGAAGTCTTGGAGCTCTATTTTATGGGTGTGCTGGGGCCCCACTCTTTCCCCTCCTGCTGGATGGTCACTGACCTGAGTGTGTACGGAGGTGGCCGGTGAGTGCGTCACGCCGGCGGCAGGCGTAGTTGCAGAAGGGACATTTGAAGGGCTTCTCTCCAGAGTGCAGCTTGATGTGGCGCAGCAGGTTCCCCTTCTGGGTGAAGGAGGCACCGCACTGGTTACAGTGGAAGGGCCTCTCACCTGCGTGTGAAAGAACAGGTTCCAGAGGACTGGGAGTGAGGTGAAGAATGTTGAAAGTTGAACCTAACTCCTTACCCTACAAGGGGAGGGTTCTCTGAATATGTCACTGAGGGGCAGGAATGTGCCATATATACTAATCCTGCTTTATAGAGATCACTTGGGGATAGTCTTACCCTGGGAAGGCGTGGGTTAGAAGTAATGTGGAAGGAAAAAAAGACTACTGGATCTGGCACAACAGAGCCAAAAGAGTATTACCCAAAACTGAGCCCCACAGGGCCCACTTTCCCCCAGGAATTCAAAATCCAAGGAGGCTAAGCAGAGGAGGGTTCTGTTTCCCACCTCCACTTTTTATAAAATTATGAGATGGGAAAGCATACACAATACCCAGGAGTCCTACCCCTTTTGGACTATAGGATCCTTCTTTGTTGTTGTTATTGTTGTGCTGGTAATTGAACACAGGCCCTCACGTGCTGAGCATCCATGCTGCCACCACTGATCTATATCCCAGCCCCAAGGATCCTTCTTGAGGCCTTCCATAATACCTACCTCTCCCTTACATCCTGAGAAACGTGATAGCTTTTCTTTATAATAACAGCTAAGGAAAATGTCAGGGAGGAACAGATGATGAGGGGAGTCCAAATTCTATCCTTCCTTTTCTCTTTCCCTTCCTTTCCCTCCCTCCCTTCCTCCCTCCTTTTCTTTTTTCACCACAATGGACATAGTACTTTTCTTTTTTTTCCTGTCAGCTAGAAAATATGCTGGAGAGACCCTTCCCTTTCTGAGGCCACTCAGCATGGCCTCCTCCAGCCCTTTCACTATTGCTCCAGCATTGCCTTTGTTTCCCAACCTCACCATGGAGCTCCTTCCTGAACCCCTCTAACTTACTCACCTGTATGGCTGCGCTTGTGCACCATGAGCACGTTGGGTCCAATGCAGACCATGCCGCAGACATCACACTTGAGCTTGCCGTTGGGCAGCCGTATGCCACCAGGGGAGTGAGGCTCTGGCCCACTCCCGTCACAGTAGCCTAGGGGCTCCGACAATGAATCTTCTACAATTACGCTGTCATCCTTTTCCAGGAGCCGCTCATCTGGTCCTAGCAGTCTGCTGGACTCCTCATCACTATACATCTCTACCTTGATGGAGTTGGCTGGAGGTGGGGGTGGTGTTTAGAATAGAGACAGGCAAAATGGGAACCCTCCCTCAGGCCAGAATGCCACTCCTGAAGCCAAAGAGGATACCTCCAGGCCCTAAGACATACAGGCCTTCGGAGGGGCCAATACCCTAGCACCCCAGTAACAATACCAGAGTCCTTCTGGAACCTAAAATAACCTTTCCTTCTCCTCTCCCACCAACCAGAAAATAGGCTTCAAGAGAAAAAAGTTGAGGTATATAGGATGTCTTCTGTTACTGGGGAGAGGAGACTGCTTAGGGGAGCCTTTTCTTCCTCTTTCTTGTCATTAAGAATGATGTCTGAGCTAAGAGTTGGTGGGTCATGCCTGTAATTCTAGCTGTTTGGGAGGCTGAAATTAGGAGGATCGTGGTTTGAGGCTATCCTGGGCAAACAGTTTGCGAGACCCCATCTCCAGAATTAACAGAACAAAACTTTTTTTTTTTTTGCATGACAAAATCTTTACTTTTAAATTATCAGTATACCAAATAACATATAATAAGTTCTTGAGTATATCACCTAGTAATTTTGATTAAGATAAGCAAACAGCAGCCCAAGAAGTATACTAGCATTCATTGTTCTAACACTTAGCCAAAATGGACTACTTTAAGGCTGGCTGCTGCTGATTACAAATTACAAAAATATATTTACTGCTTTTCATAGATAAAGCCCCTGACCTTTAAGAAAGTATAAGGGGAAAATTATTTAATCCCTTTCTTTCTTCAAAGAATTGGTTTTTTTTTTTTTTTGGTTCCTACAAGATCTAAGAAAGAAAGAAAAAATCCACATTGATTCATGTTGCTAAAAGGTATAAGAAAACAAACAACATATACTCATACAATCTCTAAGAAATATGAGGTAAAAGATGAAACCTTTGGATAAGAACCAAGTTTGTACAAAGAAGCTAAATTTGCTGCCCTGTAAAAAGTGAAGGGACCTATTACAGCATACAGAAATAAGTTAATGCCTTTCCTAAGAACAGAACTGAAGCTTTGCTAACGAACAGAGCAAAATTGATTGGAGGTTTGGCTCAAGTGGTAGAGCACCTGCTTTGCAAGTGAAGTGCTGAGTTCAAACCCCAGTCCCATCAAAAAAAAAAGTATGTCTGGGTCGGCCCTGGGCAGGAAGCCAGCAAGTAACGGTGGTGGGAAAACAGTCTTAGGAAGGTTAAGAGGAACAGCAGGCTAAAGAGAGAGCAAAATTGGAAGACAGGAATGGCTTACATTATCCTCCCACATTTAAGACTGAACCCCCTATCCCTCTCCATACAAATCTCAGGGGGTTATAAGAGGGAGGAGCCATTGAGGCTTTGGCTTTAGCTCTGACCTACATTCCTGGCTATTCCAACCATTTAGAAAATGTCACAGCTCTAGGGCCAGCTGGGGGGGCTGTTAGGGGAACCCTGCCTGGGTAAGAGGTAAGAGAAAGGGGTGGGGGAGATGGGGAGGTGCTTCTACTCTCTGTTTCCTACCTATCTCCACCTAATGACCATTTCTATCTACCCACCTCTCTGGTACCAGAATTTCTCTTTGGAGCCTTGATCTTAGTGTCACACATATTCCTTTTAGTTCCAACCTAGTCTGGCAGTGACTATTCACACTATTCAGAAGCTGGGAAAGCCCTATATGCTGGGCTCCTTCATGCTTTCAGAGACTCTGAGCAGGAAAGCAGAGGGAGGAAATGATGAGGAAATGGTTGTCAGTTGAAAGTGAAATGAGGGCCAAACAAAAATGGGTGCCCAAGGGCTGGGGGCATAGATCAAGAGAAAGAGTGCTTACCTAGCAAGTGCAAGGCTCTGAGATCAAACCCCAGTACTGCCCCCACCCCCCAAAGAAAGGGTGCCTACATCAGGTGCCAGTGGCTCACACCTGTAATCTTAGCAATTTGGAAGGCTGAGATCAGGAGGATCATGGTTTGAGGCCAGCCCAGGCAAATAGTCTGGGAGAAAAATAATCAGACCAAAGCCATACATCGGTGGCTCATACCTGTAATCCTGGCTCCTGAGAGGGCAGAGATCAGGAGGCTCAAGGTTCAAAGCTAGCCCAGGCAAATAGTTTGAGAGACCCTATCTCCAAAAAACTCATCTTTTTACAAAAAAGGGCTGGTGGGATGGCTCAAGTGGTAAGAATGCCTGCCTAGCAAGCATGAGGCCCTGAGTTCAAACCCCAGTGCTGCCAAACAAAACAAAACAACCAGAGCAAAATGGACGACTGTCGGTGTGGCTCAGTGGTTGAGCGCCACCTACTTTGCATAGTGCTTTGCAAGTATGAAGCCAAGTTCAAACACCAACCCCACAAAAATAAATAAATAAATAAATAAATAAATAAATAAATAAATAAAAGGCCCTGTGATGGTGGCTGAGTAACTATCCTAGTTACTCAGGAGGCAGAGATCGGGAGTATCATGGTTCAAAGCCAGCTCAGGCAAACAGTTTATGAAACCCTGTCTTGAAAAAACTCATCACAGAAAAGGGCTGGTAGAGTGGCTCAAGGTGTAGGCTCTAAGTTCAAATCCCAGTACTGAAAAAAAAAAAAAAAGGGGGTGCCTAGTGGAGGGAGGGGGTTGGAGATCACACTTACCACTGAGTGAGCGGCTGGGAGAAGAGTGTTGGCTGTTGGGGGTGCTCACCGAGGGCCCCACTGGGGCCCCGAGGAACTCCTTCTCCAGAGATGAGTCCCCGCTACCTTGGAGGAGAGAACAAGAGGGCAGGTAAAGCTGGGGCTGGGAGCCACCCACAGTTCATTGCCTAATCTTTTTAAAAGTTCAGTTAAATTTCACAAATGTTTATTCCATAGCCATGTACAAGGCAGTGTTGGATCCTGGGCACCATACCTTGTGTCCCCACCAGGCTGGTGCCGACTTCCGTGAGCTCAGAGGCTGGGCCTCGCTTACCCTACCTTTATCTAGGCCTAAGGGGAAAAGCATCACTGCCTGACATCCACAGGAAACAGGGCTGGGGCTGGGCGGGCCAGGGCAGAGAGGAGGGTAGGGGCTTGAGGAGGAGGTTGTTCAGGACAGACTTTTTCCCTATTGATCCTCTCTGGAGCCCCCAACACTACTTTTGGGATGTGTAGGAAGGGCATCTGGAATTGTCTCTGAGTCTAATGATAATTTTAATAATAATGATAGCAGCTAATACTTATCGAGTACTTACTATGTGTCAGGCACTATTCTGTGCAATGAAAGTGAATTATCTCTGTTAATCTTCACAAGGACCCTATGAAACAGGTGCTAATATTATCTAACTTCAGATGAGGAGACACAAAAGAGGCTGTTACTTGTTTAAGCTGGTAGTGGTGTTCCTGAGATCTGATCACAGACAGTAAGTACCCATGTCCTTAATCACCACTTACACAGCCAATTGGTAGTTATTTGTCTCAGTGGGAGAAAGTTGGGCCTATTAGACTTTCCAGAAATTTTACTATTCTAGAAAGCCTTCTATAGCTGATCTGGTTCCAATCACATTTACTATTTGGTGTTCCCTTCAGAGTTAAATATAAGTTTATCTTCAATATATTCATTTTAATTTGTTGACAAATTGTTTTGTAAAAATGCTTTTTGAGAGTACCATAATGCTTTTAAAATCAGATAACATACCTGAAAATATGAGTCTTTAAAAAAACCCTCCTCCCCCACAATCTTCTGCACAAATATATGAATGAAATAAAAACACATGTAGATAAAAACACATACAAAGACACATATTACACATGTATACACACAAAGAGAACATACCTACTGGGATAAACATACCCATAGCCTTCTACATTATCTGCTAGCATGAACATGCATGAATGTGTGCACCTAAATATGAAGAGAGAGAGAGAGAGAGAGAGAGAGAGAGAGATCCTAAAATTCATCCCTAAAGTCCACCTAATTAGTACTTTACCCAATTGCCCAGCTATGCACATACTTACTTTCACAAAATAAAGATTCCATTATAAAATGGTTGGAGTCTTGGGCCTGAGGCAAGAAATCCGGAACACACCCTCCTGAGGGATCCCTCTCCAGCTTTGGTCAGTGGGAAGAAAACAACCACTCAGGACTTTGGGACCATTTCCCATTCATATCCTCTCCTAAAAGTTCCATTTCCCCCATTCTTTCCCAACAAAGCCTGAGGAAATTTGTTCACTGTATAGAAAAAGCCTTATGGCTTGGATCTGAGTTTTCCCAGTGGGGGCTCTTAAGTTGAGCCATGATTTCCTTTAAAAGTTGCCTGAAATCAGAACCACACAACATATCATGAAAGTGAGCATCTCAGGATTGTGGGTTAAGACTTGTAGACTCAGACCCAGTTTTGAAATATGCTCTTTCAACTAAGTTCAGGGTTTAATAAGGTTAGCATGTCTTCCTATTCCTTTTCAAACATGGGTGCTGATTTGCTCCAAATCACTTGGTAGTAAAGGAGCAAGAACAGGGCTCTGGGCCCTGGAGCTGAGGCCTCTATTCTAAAAGGATGCATGCACTTGTTAGAAAGGCATCACTAGTCCAGCTTAATAGTAAGGGCTGAGGATGCTTCGTGGGGCCGGGGGATTGCTCTCTGGGGGAATATATCCTTAAAGAGATACTTAGGGACACTGAGGGGAAAGCATCCTTTGTGGCTTTCCCAATTAAGGCCTGGAAACAGGTGAGAAAGCAGGAACCTCAAGGCACACCAGTAATTCCAGAGGCTCTTTGATGCTGTTGTCCTCTCTAGGATAAAGGTAAGAGGGAAAACAGGCTCAAGTCTACTTTCATGGGACTAAAACATAAGACCGAATCTCTGTCAGAAGCCAGAAAGTGTTTGTGGGGTTCGCGGGATTTTGACTTCTAGCTAGAGGGTGAAGGGGACTAGAGTCAGATTTAGGAAATTCAGCAGTTCCTCTCTCAGCTCCAGAAACCCCAGTGAGGGAATTTCAAATGCCTGGGACTCCCAAGAAATCCCAGACTGTCAAAGCCAAAAATTAAGGCTGCTCTCAGGTCTCAGAGACATTTTCTTGGTCAAAGTCATCATAGACAGACTGAACCCCCAGAGGGCAAGGCTAAATTATGAGGTTCACATTAAAGGAACTAGGAGGTGGGTAATGGGCAGAAAAGCAGGAGGGAAGAAATTGGAAAGCAGCATACAAATGTGTCTCACATGTTGAAGGAGACCAGCCCTCTGCTCTTGCTGCCCTTACTGATCCCTTCAGAGTGTGGCTGCCTCTAGGGAATAGCCATGAGCTTGGCAAGCCTCTGCACCTCTCTGCAAGGGAAATTATCCTCACTGCTTTCCCTTCTTGACCATGAGTCCAGGTGGCAGGGTGCTAGCCTAGTAGCAGGAATGGTGGGTAGAAGAGCAAAGAAAGACGCCCATCTCCGGCTCTATTGTGGGGAGGAGGCTGAGGCCCCTCAGATCTCCAGTCTGAGCATTTGCTGTCAAGGCTTCCTTACTTCAAATCTCTGTACTACCCATTCCCACCCAGGCCTGTTTCAACATTTCACCCCAGGCAGCTCTACCTCTGTCCCCAAGGCCTAATCAAGATGTCACCACAAGCCCCCACTGTCCAAGTCATCATCTTTGCTTAGCAACACCAAACACCCTTTCCCATCCTCCTCAAGTGGAAGGAGGAACGCCCCCTCCCCCGCTGCACACACAGAACCCCCATCCTTTCCCTCTCCTCAGGCTGGGAGTTGTTACTGAATTGGCTCCCTAGCCCCAGCAACCCCCCTTCCCCTCCGCTAGCCGCCTTCTGCCTGAACTTACATTATCCTTCCCTTGCCGGTGAGACCCTGGGGTGCGAACGCGGCCGCCGCCTTGGAAACGGCGAGGGAGTGCGGGTGGTGTGTGCATGTCTGCGTCTCGGTGGCAGGCAGGGGTGAGCCCAGCCACTCACCTTCCAGGAAGCGTGGATTCCTGGAAGTGAGGGGAACCGCCGTCATTTCGCAGGCAGCAGCAGCGGCACGGTGAGCAGGGGCCCACGGCTGCAGCCAGCAAGAACAGCTCAGCACAGGGTGTATGTGTGCTGAGAGCTAGAGAGTGTATGTGTGTGTGTTTGAGAGAGAGAGAGAGAGAGGGAGAGAGGGAGAGAGGATGTTCTTGGGGAGGGGGCAAGAGAAAATGTATGTATGTGTTTATGGGGGGATGCTAGGCTACAACACCCCTTTTCCAAGACATTGAAGGGGTGGGGGCCACGGGGAGGGGAAGGCAGATGCCGTTGCCGTCCTGCCCAGCAGACAAAGAGGAACTGCACAACAAATGCTTGAGAGAGGCAAGTGTGTGTGTGTGTGTGTGAGAGAGAGAGAGACAGAGAGAGAGAGAGAGAGAGAGAGAGAGAAAGAGGTGGATGGCCTGTGGTAGGAGGGAGAACAGGGGGCACCCAGGGACAGCCCAGTCCTCTGCCAGCTGGAGAAGCCAAGGCCCCAGAGGTCATGGGGCCCAGGACACAGGGCAGCTCCAAGGCTCTTGGATTGGCAGAAAGCCCCTCCCCCAGCTAACTCAGGCACTGTGTTCCCTCTTCCCCTCCTCCTCCTCTAGGTCTGGGGACTAACAGCCCCTTTTCCCAGCAGTGAGAGAGCCCACCACAGTCTAGACTAAGGCTAGTGACACTCTGTGGCCCTCAGCCTTTTTAAATCGCAGGCAAAAGGCTGGTCCAGTCTCCCTACTTTCCATCCCTCCTGTGCCCCTAGGGCTCCAGCAGCGACAGCCCTGGATGAATTTGCCTTCTCTCAGGACAAGGCCTCTGCTCTCTTCCCTTCCAGAGGAGCTGCTCACTGCTGAGCTGACCTACTTTGGAAGACTACATTTTCTGATTCCAAGAATTTGGGGGTGGGAGGGGCTATGAAACTTTGGGCTGCCTACCCCTGGATCCTTTCTTCTAAGGTTCTCTTAAACATTTCACAGCTCCAGAATACTTGGAACAGAAACTGCTCAGTCAATTGCCTGAGCCAGGTTTGAGCAATTCCGTTTCCCCTTGAAAGATAGGGGAATGTATATGTGTATGTGTGTGGTGCGGGGGGAGAGGGAGGAAAATTTGTGCAGTAAATTAATTCTCTTCCATGGGAATGATCTATACCTTTAGAAGCAGAAGGGGAGGAAAAAAATGGACTTTCTGAATCAGGTTCTGTGAGGTTGCTAAAATCCCCTTGAAGAACAGGAGAGCTAATCCCTTTATTTGGTGGCCAGGTGAGGAAGGGCCACCTGTTATGGAGGCAGAGAATCCTGACAACTTGAGAAAGGACTGTGGATTTTAGGAGGGCTGTACTCTGGGTCCCAATCCTTCTGCTTCCATATCAGTCCAGAAGAGGCAGTGATGGGCTCTCAGATGCCTCTCAGACTGTTGCAGCTCTGCCCAGTCCTGCAGGGGGCACTCTTTAGAGGTAATGTTACCCCTATCTTGACTTTCCTTTTCCCACTGTAAGGTAGCTGCTGACATCTAGAATTCTCAAAGAACAGTGGGCAGTTTTGGAGCCTCTATTTTCACTCAGAAAACATCCGTGCAGAGGCTGCTTCTCATCTAGGAAAAACCAAGCAGGTAAATCTTGGTTTCATAGCATAGTGAAGCAAATATCCTTAGAAGTTTTCTGCTAGTATACAACATTCCCCAGAGACACTACTGAAAAGGGGGCATGGGTTATTTCCCAAGACACCTTCATAGTTTCTCATTTGCCTACATTATGGCAGGGGCTGAGAGCATCCCAGCACCAAAGCAGGGGCCTAAGTATACTTGTTGCTAAATAGTAAATAGACTAAACCAGGCAGGAGGTAGGAAGATTGGCTGGTTCCCCAGAACCATGACTTAGTTCCAATAAAGTCTCTTTCAGATAAATTAGCCCACCTGATCCCATCATTCTGGTGCTAAATGCCTATACCCAATCCAATTCCTTCTGTCCTTAGATGGGGAAGGGGTCACAGTCAACATCTTACTGTATATTACCTGGTATTTCCAGTGATTGTCATGTGTGTCTGACCCATCTTGCTATCTCCATCAGTGCATGCCAATAATTCATTCATTAGTCCTACCTTAGAGTAAAAAAATATACTACAGGTCATTTCTATAATGTCACTTGGATTTCTTATGGGATATGCAAAATATATATATATATTCTGGCTTTCCTTACTGCTAATAATCATTTTTGCTCTGACATTGTAATGGTCTAAAAAATGAGTCCTTCTAACTTAAAAGACTAACTTTGTCTTAGGTTCTTTCCTATACTCTTAGAAGGATAAGTTTCTTATTTCTTTTTTACCTTATTAAGCTTGATTAGTTTGATATCTCTAAAGGTTATTCATACTGTAAAATGATGATCTGTTTTGCCTCAGTAAGAATATTTGGCAAATGTGAAAAGATGTAACATGCTAAGACTGTGGAAAAGGACTGGGGAGAATGAGAATTGGCTTCTCTGTCCTTATCCACTAAGGATGTAAACTGGTGGTCCATGGCTAACTTCAGCAAACATGTAAGTTTGACATGCCTTATAAAGCATTTTTAAAAATATTGATTCATTATTTTAAAATAGATATAGTTCAAATAAAAATTCATATTTCTGATTTCTCATGAAAAGTTGGAAGATACACATTCCCACATGGCAATGATGGGTGGACACAGAGTAACTGCTGTCCCTTGAAATGGAACACATTCTCCAGAGAGTCCTTACTGTACTCTTCTGCTTACCGTTCTAGCCTGCATTTATTCATTCACATACCTTCCTGGCCCTTTCAGGCTCTAAGATTTGAAATGCTCCTCTACTCTCTACTTGGATAGGACAGAATCCCATGTTTGGTGACCTCAGAACACAGGAGAAAGAACCACATCTTCCTTCTGTCTATTTGCTTCAAATCATCCCTCTCATTGTGTTCACTCATATTCCCCTCCTATTCCCTTCCCTCTTCCCTTTTTCCCGAGAAATCTGGGAAGAGAACCACTATTTAGGAAATACAAAAATCACAAAATAATTGCATGCTACTACCAAGTACTACCAAGCAAGAGTGTCAGCTCTGTGACTGACATTTAGTCATGTAGAAGTCATGTGCCTGGGATGAAGGCTCTCTGCTCTGCCCCACAGGACAGTGTCTGCTCCCAGGCCCGTCCAAATGGAACACACAGAAGGCATACCAGACATATAGGAACGGCCATTGCAGTCTTCTATATCCATCTTAAAAAGAGCCTGTTGAAAGAGAAACAGCTGTTGTTAGAAGATAGATCTGGGAAGGGAAGAGGTTTTTCTTTAACATTTGGAGTATGCAAGAAACCTGAAAGATCACTTTAGTGTGATCTGATACTGTCCTAAAGAAGAAAATCTTCATTCTTTGTCCTGATGAGAAAGACAATGTACTCTGACTTACAAACCTCAAGATTTCCTTTAACTCATACCTTCTTCAGGCCTCCTGAGGTGGAAACACTCCTTTAGTCCAGAGTGATCTAGATTTTAAGAATATACCTTTGCCTCATAGTAGACCAGATCCTGTAGGAGATAGATTACATCTCAGCTCTCAAGAGGCAAAGAAACAGCCTTATCGAGGTATCAGACTTCACTAAGGCATGAGGTAGGAAGAAGCTGGATTCAGTCATTCAAGGGATTCTTTTGGGGAGTGTGTAGGGAAGGTGAAAGATGGAGAAGAGAAGTCCACCTCAGGACTCAGAGATAACTTCTCTATTAAACGTGTAGTAAACAAACTTTATTTATTTAACTTATTTAATTTATTGGTGCTGGAGGTCAAACCCAGATCAAACCCATGCTAGGCAAGTGTTCTACCACTGAGCTCCAGCTCTAATCCTTTTAAGTGGCTCCCCTCATCATCTGGCCAATTACTGTACTATACTTATTTTTTTCAAATGGGGGAGGATAATTTAAAAAGCAGGTTTAGTCTATTTAAGGGAAGGCAAGCAGTAATTGACAATAGAGCATTAAACAATCAAGAACTGAGAACAGTTAAGAGTGATAATTTGTTGCAATGAATTATCTCCTTAGGAGCATGTGGGAGGAGAAAAAAAAACCTAGTGGAAATTTACATACATGCCAAATTGGTTTTACCACTCATCTAATGATAAATTAGTGTCTTAGAGAAAGATTTGGAATAACAAGAGTGGAGCAAGGGAATATCCCCAGCGGCCACCAGGATTGGTCTCTCTCTCTCTTTCTCTCTCTCTCTGTCTCTCTTTTGGAGGCACTGGAGTTTGAACTCAGGGCCTCATGCTTGCTAGACAGGTGTTCTATCACTTGAGTCACTCCGCCAGTCCAGGATTGGTCTCTGAAGGTTCTCACTGATGTAGATAGATGAATTTTTGGTTTGCTTATAACACTATATTCAGAGAGATGGGGAGAGTAAGGGGAAGTAGGAGAGCACACAGGAGGAATTACCTGTATTCCTGCCTTCCCCCCATTCTTATCTAGAGCAAGGCTCATGAGAAAGCTTGACTCATGGGCTTCCCTTCACTCTGCAAAACAACTCTCCCTTATTTCATCAGAGATTCCTAGTCTCAACCTTATTTTATTAGGAAGCCTTGTGTGGAGGAAAAATTCTCTACATTGATTTTCAACTCCCCTTTTTTTTTTGTGGTACTGGGGTTTGAACTCAGGGCCTACACCTTGAGCCACTCCACCAGCCCTTTTTTATGATTGGTTTTTTTCGAGATAGGGTCTCGAGAACTGTCTTGCCCAGGCTGGCTTCAAACCACGATCCTCCTGATCTCTGCCTCCTGAGTAGCTAGGATTACAGACTTGTGTTCTCATTCTAGTTCCAGTCTCACCATAAGCCCTGGGACAAGCAACTTTACTACTCTGAGCCTCAGTATTTCTAAGCAGAAAATGGGAGAAATCTTGCTTACTCCTGCCTCTTCTACATGGGAGGGGGAGGACATGTGAGCAAAATCATGTGTGGCACTTTGAGCTTTGCAGATGTTTTGAAAAATCCCAAAGGGCATTTATGGAGCTAATAATTTGGAAACCCTATCTTGAAGAAACCCATCACAAGAAAGTGGCTCAAGGTGTAGGGCCCTGAGGTCAAACCCTAGTACCATCTTAAAAAAAAAAAAAAAAAAAAGAATGAGAACATAAGAACACAAGTCTCCTTCTCTGAGGTGTGCTCTATCCAGTACACTATGTTGCTTCCTTTCACAAGTCTGCTCAAGGGCTTCATGGATCTTCTTGCTCTCTGCTGGTTCTAACATCAAGTAAGGAATCTTTCCCTTTAGTGTGATCCCTGTGGGAGTGGGTCTGTGACTTATAAAGGAAGAACAAGTTGAGCTGGCTCTACGGGGAAAATATGCTAATGTGTGTGTGTGTGTGTGTGTGTGTGTGTGTGTGTCACAGCATTCAACTAGATCTGGCTCAGGGAGTGCTCTCATTCTTGGACTCCTGCTGAAATGGCCCCAGAACAATTTCCATAAGGGTCTGAGGGAGTATTTTCTGAGTTAGACTTTCTTCCTAGTAGTAAACTGAGCTCTCCTACATCTTAATGGCTCTTAAAAGGTGCTCTGTGACACATCTTGGATAAAATCAGTACTTAGCTTCCTCCAACTGGTCTAAATGCCAAGTTGGTAATCTTGGAAGTGAGAGTGGTTGAGAGTCTGCTGTCCTCCCTCAGTCTTGGTTTTCTGAAACCCAGGAGCAAATTGGTAGATGTACTTCACTCTGCTCAAATTTCCTCACAGCACATGATTCCCAACCTTCCCAGTCTCCACCCTTCAAAGCACCTCTTCCCCTACCTGAGCAGGCAGGCAGCTCTTAGTGTCTACTTAGAGGAACTGGGTCAGATTCGGCAGTGCTAACTGGAGATACATTGGAGGAGGAGGAAGTATAATGAGAGGTAAGTTAGTTACATGAGATAGGTTTGGCTCAAAGATCTTGGATGGAAAGTAGCTTTAAAGCTATAAATGTCATTCAGTGATGGAAATAGGCACATACGTATTGTAAATTCAGTTCAGCGAGCTGAATACAGAGCAACTAGAAAGCCAGTCTCTCAATTCAGAAGGGAAGTATTCTGTGAGGAGGGAGCAAAGATTGGTCATTGTAACTTCTGGAGACAGACTTTCTTCCTTTTTTTATTTTTTTGTTTTTTTGCGATACTAGGGATTGAACCCAAGGTTCTCATACATGCTAAGCAAATGATGTACCACTGAGCCGCCCCATTCTTTTTAAAAAGTTCTTCATTTTTGGTGGAACTGAGGTTTGAACTCAGGGCTTTACACTTGCGAAGCAGGTGCTCTCCAGCTTGAGTCACACTTCTGGTCCATTTTGCTCTGGTTATTTTGAAGATGGTGGTCTCAAGAACTATTTGCCTAGGCTGGCTCTGAACCATGATTCTCCCTATCTCAGCCTCCATGTAGCTAGGATTACTGGTGTGAGCCACCAGTGCCCAGCCCAATTCTTGTGAATCCACTTGCCATCATAAGAAGAGTCCCCCATAGCCCTGGCTAGCTCTCATCAGTGTGTTACCACATTTGACCAGGAATGCATAAAAATGGCATTCTTTCTGGAGAGAAAATTTCCCAACAGACTCCCTAACAAGCAGCAGTGGGGAAAAGTTCATGATCTGACTTTCAGGAGCAGATCAGGCATCAGCTACCACCTCCACATGTCCCAAAACATTCCTACAGCTCTAAACTACTGGTGAAAAAATGTGAAAAACATCAATTTTCTGTATGTACTGGCTGTAAAAGCCTGAGAGAAAATGGTCATCACTAGTAATTAAAACTCTTCAAATCCTCCAGAATCCAGCTTGATCTCCTGACACTCCAAGGAAGACACTGGGAAAGAGGGTGGAGATGGAGAGAGTATACAGGCTTCATGTCATACTTTTGTTATTACTCCCAAAAGGGAGAAGTAGAAATATTTTCTCCAGTTTCCTTTTTGACCTGAGTTTTAAGGTAGAGTCCAGTGATTCTTAAGTTCAGACAGAACTTCCTGTATGCCTTGAATGCAGGCAGTTCAGGCATCACAGATCCATAGCATTATCCTCTCCTATCTGACCCTTTCTCAACTGAATGGAATCTGGGCAAAAATATGATAGACTCTGTTCTCTCTCAGGGCTCTGCAGAACTGGGGAAGAAGGGAGGGGTCCAGGGTTAGTAAAAGACTTGGAATTAATCATTGTCTTCAAACTGACTGCACATCCCTTTTCAGGAAACAAACCTAGACATTGAGTAATTTGCAGCTCTGACATGATCTTCAGGGTCAACTTAGTGGCCTCTGAAGGAAACCCACCAACCTTTGCTCAGCTCATGTGTCTGTCTTTATAGCAGAAATGTCTGACTCATTTTTTTTCAACAGGCTGTAGATGGTGACCTCCTGTTTATGTGTAGTACAGATGAAGACAGCTCAGCTTCATTATCCAAGTGCCTGGGGAGCAGTGCAGAGGGGATGAGTTCTCAGGTCATCCTAAGAATGGCCAGTCTCTAAAACAAGAAGGGGTAAGAGCTGGAAATATGATTATCTGGGCAGGGGGAAAATGTCACCTCATTGACTCCTTTTAGATCTCAGATGAATGTATCTTTTCTCTTGTTCTTTGTGCTTCCCTGTCCTCCCCATGCAGACTGCAGAAGAGAGAAGGCTGAAGTTTATGGATGGAGGAGAAATAATCCTTTCCACCCCCGACCCCATCTCTCATTTCAGGACTTGAGGAACTAAGGAAAAAGGCCACACTGAACAATTTAAATCACCAGGTGTGATACACGAGATGAATCTTTCTGAATTTCTTTGGATATACCCCTTTGTAGATAGCATCACTGTTCAGTTTTATGTTTGGGTAAGGCTGGGGAAAATAGAGCAGGAGAATTCATTTTGCGCTGTATAAGTAGCAGTCTTGAAGCCAAAGAGGCTCCAAACAGGGTTATCTCTCCCAAGTGTTTGAATTACATAGAAATCTCAACTATTTTGATTGGGATAGGTGGCAAAAATGTGGGAGAGACAGTCTTTCTGGCCAGAAGTCTCTAATACATACTGATCAAAAGAGCTCACTGGGGCTGGGGCATAGTTCAAGTGGTAGAACACCTGCCTAGCAAGTGCAAGGCCCTGAGTTCAAACCCTATTACCCCCCCCCTCCACACACACACACAAACCTCACTGTTTGGGCCAGAAAGATATTTTCAGACTCCTCTGCTAACAAAGACTCTTGCCCTGATAAACCAGTTTGATAAGCATTTCTACTTCCTCTGGAAGGCCTAGGACAGGAGCATTCCAGGACCTAGGGGAAGCTTAGAGCTGGAATGAAGTTCAGAGTTGATCTACAATATCTTGTTTTGCCACATTCCCAGCCCCCAATCTCTTGCTTTTTAACCAAGAAGAAACTGAATCACTTAAATGATTGGCAAGAAAAATAGCACAAATAGAACCCAGGTTACCAGTAGAGCACAAAGTTTAATCTTGCCCCAGCCGGAGGTCTGAGCCACCCCGTTTGCTATCTTTTTGGAGTTATGAGGTGAACAGTTTTGGGGTTCGCATCTTTGTGACTTAAATCCTTGAAACAAAGGCTTATGGATAGAAGAAATAATTCTCTTACTCCTATGTCTCTTTATAAATTATGGATTTAAGGAAGATGTAGATTAGTGCTCTGGTAGAAACAGTGCTTGTTGGCTCAGGGAACTACCCCAGCATATGTGTTGTATCAGTGCCTGCAATATGGATCTTATATCCAGGAACTGGGGTCACACCAGTATTACAGGTGCTTAGATGTTTTTGTCTGATAAACTTTGACCCTGTCTCTCTGTTTCCAGAACAGAGTCCATAACTCTTGTAAGAAGAGGAGGTAGCGCAGGTGGCTTACGCCTGTAATCCTAACTACTCAGGAGGCAGAGATCAGGAGGATATCAGTTCAAAGCCAGCCCTGGGCAAATAGTTCTCAAGACCCCGTTTCAGAAAAAAACCATCACACAAAAAATGGGCAGGCAGAGTGTCTCAAGTAGTAAGAGCGTCTGCCTAGCAAGCGTGAGGTCCAGAGTTCAAACCTTAGTACTGCCAAATCAGACAGCCTGAAATTCAAGGTTTTCTCCAAAAAGCAGAGTCAGGAGCTCAATAAAGAAAGGGAGTCCATCTGTCTGTAGCATTATCCACATCCACAGGGTCCCATACTCTTAAGAGTATACTCTTAAGAGGATAGAAATACCTCACCAACAATAACTTATCATTCTTTAATTTTCTTAGCATGTGTGTGTCTATGTGCGTGATGTGTGTATATAGAGAGAAAGAACGAGAGCTGGGGTCAGGAAGGAGAAGGATCAGACAAGTGTGTGCCAATTTGAGAGAAAAGAATTCCTTTGTGGATCTTTGTTGGAGGAGGCATGGTAAAAGGTGGGATAAGTTTCTCCTATGCTGGGAAGTACAAACTACAGATTTCAAAGAGCAAATAAAGAAGAAACTTGCAGTTGCATTTCCTTGGGAAAAAAGTCAGGACTTCTTTCTGAGCCATGTCTGAAATATGCCTTACCCATAACCTACTGAGAGGAAGGGGATTGCCCAGAAGCTGCAGTTGAACTAACTGCACTCAGTGGGCAACAAAGACATTACATCTTGTGCTTGAGACATCAATATCTATTGCCTAGGGCAAGACAGAATTCCAAAGCTGCCAAAACCCGGGCATCTTCTACACCTGAGGTCCACCCTTCAGAAACTCCATTGAAACCTCTCCTGCTTCCCAATGGTAAGGCTAGTTTCTTCGAAGACTATTTTCACCTCAGGAGCCACTCATATGACTGTTTTTATGACCTGAAGAGCTATCTGGATTCTCTGGCTTTAAGCTGTTGGTAGGGAAGGCTGAAGTCCCCTGTACACCACCAAGGAAGATTCACTGTCCTACTGGCAGGCCCACAAGGAAGTCAGGAACTACCAGCTGGGCATTTCATACATGCCTAACAAACAAGACACCATGCTTTCAATTTTTGTTTTATTTGGTCTTTTATCTGGCTTTGTCCTCAGAATCTGAGTTATCTTAAGTGGAAATATTTGAGGTAGTCAAATACCTGTTTTTCATGTTTCCTAAGTTTATATAAACATGTCTTAAGTTGGATGCCAGTGGCTCACACCTGTAATCCTAACAACTTGGGAGGCTGAGATCAGGAGGATTGCGGTTCAAGGCCAGCCTGGGAAAATAGCTTGTGAGACCCCATCACCAAAATAACCAGAGAAAAATGGATTGGAGGTGTGACTCAAGCTGTAGAGCACCTGCTTTGCAAGGGTGAAGCTCTGAGTTCAAAACTCAGTCTCCCAAACAAACAAACAAACATGTCCCAGGCAACATGACCAAGTATCAGTAAGGAGAGATAGCCAGGCCCCAATGGTCATCGGGGTGGCCATGAGGATGGAGGGCTTAGAGCTGACAGGTGAGCAGATCAGGAACATACCAAGGTCACCATGGATGCTTTGAGGGCTCAGGCCTCAGGCTGGGAAGATAAGTACAACAGGAGTTACTGAACATGTGAGGGTCAATAAGAGTCACAACAGTAGACAGTTTTGCTCAGGAGAGAAGGGAATGAGGTGAAAGAATGTGAGCAAAGCTTGACACAGTGGTTGGTAATGCATCAAATCTTTCTGGAAGCAGAGTTGGTAAATTTTTGACCTTGGCTGAGCAAATGGGGTATCTAATTTCTGAAACATATCATATCAAAAGGTCCATTTTCCATTAAACATTTCACTTATCCCCAAGACAGGACTAGTTGTGAGTTAAATGAAACAAAACTACACATAGAAATTCAATGAAAATTAAAAAAATGAGAATCTACAACTCTAGCAGATAAGGGTAAGAAAATATCTGGGGATGGATATGAGTGGTACAGGAAGGGCAGAATGTTACCCAAGTTCGTACCTCCCACCCAGATGTCAATGGTAGGGCCCCCTCTATGCATTTTTTTCTTAGGGGTCTCATGCAATAAAGTCCTTCCCAGCCTTGCTTCTCAAGTTCCCTACATTTCTCAGCCCACACGTCAGATAGCATTCCAGCCTAAGTTTCTTCTCTATTACATATTTGCCTGCTCTGCTTATTGCCTGAGATATTCCCATCTAGGCCTACATGTTTTCCTCCAGGCTTCTTGATCAGACCCCCAGGTCCCTCACTTTCTTGCACTCTGGTACCCTCTGCTTCTTTCCGTTTTCTTCTGTTCTACCCTAGCCATACTCCACAGAGGAACCTATCCCCAACTCCTTGACTCGAGCCATCTCCCGCCTTAAGACCCTCAGAACCCTCCTGCTACCGCCCCCCTTCAATACTGGAGTCTTGTGACAAAGTAATCCAGGCAAGCTTCAATCCCTCGGGCCTCAGTCTCCCCCTCCCCCAATCGATGTCTCCCTTCGTATCACGCCCAAGTCCCTCAGGCCCCGCCCCCGGCTACCGAGACCCCGCCCACCGATTCGCCCGAGCCCCGCCCCTCACTCACCTGAGGCGTCTCCGCGCGCGCGCAGGCTTTTGGGGGTTGGAGGAGAAGGGACAGTGTTGGGGAAGATGGGGATGGGGACGGGGGTCCCCCACTCTGGCCCGGATGGCCCAGTGCGGGGGGAGTAGGGTCACTGAGGCGGCGGCAGCCAGGCCGAAGCCGGGACCCGGATGCTCAGCAGCGGTGGTGGCTCCATCTCCATCAGCGGCTTCACCTAAGGAGGGACCGGCCCCCCAACTAGACCCCCCCTTATTACAGTCGCCCCCCTCCCTCCCGAATAACTTCCGGTCCCAATACCAGGCGACAGGCGGCTGGGCCGAACACCGAGCGTCCCCAAACCGGGGAGACTGCTGGGGGATAAAGAAAAAAAGGGAGAGGAGCTAGGGGAGACTAGCCGAGCGCCGAAAGAGTCAAATCCAAAAGGCGCTATAGCTGCAGAGGGTAACTGAAATCTGCCCCTTCATCTGCTTCTAATTTGCGAACTAGGTGCACATTGGGTGCCCCACGTGCCCTGGCACGTCTGCCCCTAGTACAAGTTTTGCCCCTGCTCCTCCTAATATTGATTTTAATCTGTTACCATTCTTTGCCTTTCATGCCCAGTGCGATAGGAATCGCGGGGCGAAAGAGTCTGAGATTATCCAAAAAAAAAACCCATTTTTGGGCGTAACCCGAAGTCAGTTACCCACACGGTGCTGCAGTAGCTGATTTCAGAGAAGGAAGCCTCTCGCTCCTTGACTTCCCAGCGACTGTTCCTCTCCCTTATTGATTTTAGGTTATGTAGTGCCCCTCTTTGCAACAGGCTCATAACCCAGGCCCAAGAGGCCCAGAGTCATAATCTTAAACAGCTGCTTTATTGATTTAGAAAAAGTAGAACTATAAATGGGAAGGGTTGAGTTATTTGCCGTCTGTCTTCATAACCCCTTGGCAACCAAAGTGGCAGCAGAAAGTATGTACCTTCCTTTCCCAAACCACACACATTCTCTGAAGAATACAAGAAAAGCAAAATAAGGCCTGGATGGCAATAGGCATTTGGAGTGGAGATGGGGTAGAATGAGAAAATAATTGTCTTCAGAGTTACTTTTTTTTTTTTTTGTGGCACTGAGGCTTAACTCAGGGCTAGGCAGGCTTTCTACCACTTCAGCCACTCCACCAGCCCTCTGTTACTTTTCTTACCTCTAGACTCTTGCTCTAATAGCTTTAACCTCCTAGGACAGAGTCAGAGGCTAGGAAGGCCAAAGAATGGTGGGTGCCTTGCATGGAAATATGCTATGTGTGAACTTGGGTATGGCTTGGGAAGGCACAGTTCAGGATTGTGATTCAAGAAGTGGAGAGAAAGGAAAGGTTTTTCTGTGGCAGTGAGACCAAAGGATGGGTGAGGAAAGGGTCAAGGTGGCTCTGGGGTATGGATGGCTCCATTCCACGCATTCATGTGGCGACATGGACATGGACACGGTGCCAGGCATTGCTGAGCACACCTCGAAGATTCCAGATTGGGGCCATGGTGTCTGGCTGCACATTGTAGCTATCATCCACAGCCTTACAAACAATGTTCAATTCCTTTTGTCCAGCTGGCACAGAGGCTTGCAGCTGCCATAGACGCCAGGCCCAGGCCTTCCTAGGGCGCTGTTCCTCTGCATCCAACTCAGCTGCCTGCCAAGTTAGTCCCCCATCCAGAGAGACATCTACCCGGATCACAGCCCTGCCACCACCACTCCATGCATAACCCTTGATAGTCACTTCTCCTGGTTCTATAGTCTCCCCATCCTGAGGCTCTGTGATGGCTGACTGGACAGGTAGTTCCTGAATAGATGGAGCTGAGTCAAAGTCTACAGTGTCCCAGTCCACAGATGGAGAGAAGCCTTTGTAATCCCTCCGCTGCCAATGACTGTGACTTTCTTCTGTCTCCACACTCACTTTGCCCAGCCATTTGACATGGCGAGCACCCACCACACCAGGAACCACGACCCGCACAGGAAAGCCATGGTCACGAGGTAGAGGCTGCCCATTCATCTCATATGCCAGCAGGACCTCAGCTTCAGGATCCAAGGCCCGAGCCAGAGGGATAGATGCTCCATAGGCAGTCCCTGTGGGGTCTGAGTCCAGTCCTTCAAAGCACACGTGGGCCTCAGTTTGACAGAGTCGATGACCAGCCTGGGCTAATACATCACAAAGCCGTGCCCCAGACCAGCGTGCAGTGCTAATGGCCCCTGTTTTCCATTCCAGACCTTTTACTTCCTTGACCTGTGTCATCTCAGAGCGCCGGTTGCCAGCACACTGCAGAGTGACTGTGATCTCATGTTTGGGAAACTTATATAAGTCATCCAGGGACAGGGACAGGGACTGACTTCCAGGTGCCCCTACTACATGTAAGCGATAAGTGTCTGGGTCCAGGTTAGGCACAGGTAGATGGTTACGAGTGAAGAAGATAGAGTTGGGTGTGATGTAGTTTTCTGTCAGCAGCTCAGGGGGAGGCTCTGCATTAAAGGGGCGCTGGCTGTTCACCTTCAGGGCTGGGTGACGTACAGGATCATTAGCATAAGGGTCAGAGGTCTCCAAGGTGGGGGTTACATTGTCTTTGGGGTTCAGCTCCCCAATCTTATATTGAGCCAGTAACTCACGCACATGGGGCTGGTTGTGAAAAGCATAGAGGGACCAAAAGGGCTCTAGGGGACCCCCAGCTGCTAGCATCAGCTTTGATGATCCCCCTGGGTGTATGTCCACAAATTCTGTGACATCAAAGACCTCAGAGCCCAGAGTTACCCAGATTCCAGTCTCAGAGTTGCTGTGGGAACTCACTTCCTCCTTAGTGTACACACGTTGAGAATCCTGAGCAGCCTGAAAGCAGGGCAGATGTAAGGCAACAGATTATTAAATGACTGTAGCTTTTTTTTTTGGTACTGGAGTTTGAAACCACGTGCTTGCTAGGCAGGCAGATGACCTACCACTTTAGCCACACCTCCAGCCCAGCTCTAGCTCATTTTGACCCAACTCATAGTCTTAGCCACTGGGAAATGAAGGTAGTAGCTACTATCTCTGCTATGCATGAAGGCAGTGTTGGTATGGGCTCTGCAGCAACAGCAAGAACATGGGTCACAGCCCAGATTGCCTGGGGAGCTTACTAGGACCACTTTGTTTTGACAATGAATCCCTTCCCCCACTTACCCTACATCGATGGTCATGATAGGCCAACACTGCACCAAGGCCTACCAAGGTTCCCATGACTTTCCATCCCCCAGTGCTGGAGTTACCACCAGAGGTGAGGTTGGGGCGCTGGAGCTGAAATGAATCATTTGCAGAGCAGGTCTGAATGCAGAGCCTTGAGGGAGCTGACTGGAGTCTGGAAGAGAGAGATCTTAGTAGCATATATGGTCATGTGAAAGTGTCAGTGAAGGTGTGGGGTATGCTCTCCCTGGTTGGTCTTGGTTCTTTCAGTTGGAATTTAGTTCCTTCAGGGATGGGTGGATCAAGTAGAATGTGGTTTTTCCTTTCCTCCTTGGCCACCTCTCAAGTATCTTATCTTGCCAGATAAGATAACTATCTGGCAGGTTAAGATAGTTATTTTATCTGGGAGAGATACAAAGTACTGGGATGGGATGGGCTACCTGCAGGCCTGTCGAAGACCCAGAACCATATTTCTTTGCAGCAGCAGCATTATGGCAGACCTGTAGGAGGAAAATTCCAGTATCAAAACAAGAAAACTCCTTTGAGGGAATATTAGGGAGACTTGAGGGAATGGATAGGAGGAAGACACCAAGAAGGTCAGTAAGAAGCTCTCTGGGCAAATGGGGAGACTTGAGAGTAGAGGTCCAAATAGGCTCTTAACAAAAACTGGGAGCACTTCAAGGACAGACTGTGCTAATAGGATGGAAGGGAATGGGAGCAGAGAGGTACAGGTGCTTCTAGAATCTCCCATCCTCCACTCTGTACTTTGTGTACTGTAGAGAACAATGCCAGAGGCCAAATGTCTATTGTCCAGTAAGCTAGTTTATTTTTTTTTGTAGTGCTGGGGATCCAACCCACGTCTTCCCAAATGTGAGGCAAGTGACTTACCTCCAGCCTCAGTTTGCTGGGTAATTATCTCTAAAGTCAACATAGGGCAACTGAGGGTTAGATAGATGTAAACAGATAAAATGGTTAAAAAAAAAAAAAAAGTGGCAGGCTAATAGGGTGAAGGAGCCCAGATTCCACAAACCTAACTGCCTTGGGTTGGTAAAATCAGCCCTGCCATTAACCAGTTCCCTAGGCAAAATACCAAGCCTCTCTGAACTGTGTGCTCTTCTCTGAAATAAGATCTACCTAGCAGAACTGTTAGGAAGAGCAAACAATAACATGGTCTTTGAAGGCCTTTTGCCTTCTCTCCCTCCGCCCCTCAAAAAAAAAAAAAACCTAACCTCAGCCAGGAACTGAATCCCAACTTGGAATCCGCACCCCAAGTCTATGCTATTCTAGTTGATCTCAGCAAATTGAGACAGTCAATGGCCAGCGTGTCAGGGGATGGCTGAAGAAGGAAGTTAATTTTTCTGTACTGTTCTGCAGCAGTTTCATCCTCACAGTTCAGTGCCTCTGAGCAGAGCACTAACCTAAGAGGGTCAAGGTTGGGAGGGGTAAGAAGTATACCAATTGCTGATGAGATGCTAGGAGTGGGTGTGGTGGTCATGGGTGGGGAGGCAGGGAGATGGGAATAGGAGCGGAGTCTACACTTTACCCCCGGGTCATGTGACCCTCACTCTCCCAGCCACCTACCCTCAATTCCAGCAGCTTGCTTAGATCAGACTCAAGTTCCAGGTTTGGGAGGGGTGGCCTTCTGTTGCAATATAGAAATGCCACTCCTTGATGAGAGCGGTGGCCCCTCATTCTCCATGGGCTCTTTAGGTAGGAGGTTATATCCAGCATGTGGTCAGAACAGCAGGCCCTATGCCACTGCCCAGCAGCTTGTAGAGACACCCTATGACCCCAGCAGCCGAGCATCGGGAGTGGAGGCACTGGTACCTTTGTTATCCTTAAGGTTTGAAGCCGCGGCCCTCGCCCTTAATCTCCCTCCCCGCTGCAGCCCCCTTACCCAGCTCGGTGTCTTGCAGCGCGTCAGTTTTACCCACCCGGTCCCCGGCGAGTGCTTGCTGTGGGGCGGGGCGAGGCCCACGCCGTGACGTAAGCAGAAGCTTCTAAAGGCGCCCTCACACCCCCTCAGCCCCCGCCGCAGCCATTGGTCGGCAGCCTAGCCTAGCTGCTGCTGGGAGCCAGCTGGAGGTCCGCCGGGGGAGGCGGGGCGCCACGAGGGCTGGGGCTGAGGCCGAGGCTGGCTGTGTTGCTGCACAACTGTTGGCTCAAATCGAATTACGGTCCGGTGGATAAGGATAGGGCCTTCACTGGTGTCCAAGTCCGGGTGGTGGAAGGTGATGAGCGCTCCAAAGGTTGCCCTGAGCTGAGTAGCGGGACCTCCAGCTGGGGATGGGGGCGGAGACCGAAGCGCATTCCCTCCAGAGAGTTGGATTCCGCCGGCCGCTCCCGGCGCCAGGGGCACCCCGGCTGTTTTTAACAAACGTGTGTTGCAACTACAACAGCCCTGTTTGTCTTTTAGGGAAAGCAAGGTCAGTCGCTTAATTCTCTTATACCCAGGAACGACAGCAGAAATGAAGCCTAAAATATTGGTTCAAGATTTCGAGATTCCAGATCTAGTTGACTTTCTCTCTGAAGTACAGAACAGACAACTGAGTACGATCTTTTAAATTCTGCTTAGTCAATTTTTGAAATCATTGCCCTTTAATAAGAGCAATGGCAGCTTAATACTCCAAAGTATGAATTATTACAGTCTTGTATCTCAAAGGACACAAATAGAATTAATTTTTTTTCTTTCTCTTTTACTGGGGTTTGAACTCAAAGCCTACACCTTGAGTCACTCCACCAGCCCTTTTTTGTGACGGGGTTTTCAAGATAGGGTCTCTCAAACTATTTCCCCTGGCTGGATTCGAACTGCGATCCTACTGATCTCTGCCTCCTGAGTAGCTAGGATTACAAGCGCGAGCCACCAGCGCCCGGCTACAAATTTGCTTTTTACTATGGTTTTATCATTTGTTCAGAACTGAGTATTTGTCAAACCTCATCCCTCCCTGCACCTGGAACAAGTTTATATCTACACTGCCCTCTAGAGATAAGGGGGCTGAACTACACTCTTAATTTAAGTGAAACTCTTCACCTTTAAATTTGGAAGATCATTTCCTTTTTCTGCTCTTCACCTAAAGATTTTACCAGGAATCAAGGATCCAGCGAATTGAGAAATATAAGTCAGGCGTTGTGGTGCTCATCTGTAATCCCAGCTACTCGGGCGGCAGAGATTGGGAGGATTGTGGTTCCAGGCCAGGCAAGGCAAAAAGTTGTGATACTCAGTTTCAACAAATAAGCCAGGCATGGTGCTTGGTGCCTTGGACAGAAGGATAGCAGTCTAAGACCTGTCCTGGCAAAAACAAGGGAACTTATATGAAAAACAACTAAAGCAAAAAGGGCTGGGGGTGTGACTCAAATGTAGAACTCTTACCTAGCAACCTTGAGGCCCTGAGTTCAAATTCTCCCACAAAAAAAAAAAGGGAAATGACCAGGTGCAGGCTATTTGGGAGTGGGAAATGGGAGATTAGAAGGATTGTGGTTTGAGGCCAGCCAGGCAAAATGTTCATGCGACCCCAGCTCAATCAATAAGAAGTGGTGGTGCTCACCTGTCACTCCAGCTATATAGGAGACGTAAATAGGAGGACCGTGGTCCAGGCCAGTTTGGGCATAAACATGCAAGATCCTATCAGAAAAATACTTAAAGCAAAAAAGGCTTGGAGGTGTGGCTCAAATTATACAGTGCCTGCCCAGCAGGTATAAGGCTGTGAGTTCAAATTTTTGAATGAAAAGTTCAAACTTTTCATTGTCTCACAATGAAAAGTTGATTTTGGTGCTAACATTTTATAAAATACACAGATAAAACAATCTGTGTATAATTAAATCACTGGAGAGGTCTGAAGTCTGATCTATCCTAACAGTAAAAAAAAAAAAAAAAAAAA